CATCTCAAGTTCAGTCATAATGCCTGAGGGAAGAAATGGGGATCAGGAAACAAATGAGGCATCCTGGCTATCTTTGAGGAGGTTTCTTGCCAATTGACGTAGAACGTTTGTACATACGTCTCATTGGCTGCACTGGGTCCCAGAATATCCTGATCAGTCTTGAAGCTTGGAAATATGTATCCTTGCTCTAAGTGGCCAAGGGCTCAGCATGAGTTTGAGAGTTATATTTCAAAGAAAGGGTTTGAAGAACATGCACTGGGACAGAAGAGTTGACATCTCTGCAGCAGCTCATTCCGCCCTTCTTGGGTGGAATTGAGAACTTCAACTGCATTTGATTTGTAGATGCAAATTCAAGGTAGTTAATATTGGGATATCAGATCTCTGTAACCTGCTGTCGCTTTATCTCCCATTTAGTCATCTGTTTTTAAAATGCATATGCGCTTTTAGTTTAAAATTCATTTCTAGGCGCTTTACTATCTGTTTGGTTGTATGATCACTGCTTCAATTTCACCATTTTTCTATCTGGCTATAACCAGTTCACAAGGAAACTACTAATTTCTGTATATGATAACTTGAGTTAGTGACTTATAGTTTTTCAGCTTGTTGCATTTTAATAAATAATATGATGTTTAAAAGTAATTATAACTTTTATTTGGTATTACTTATTATTCTTGATTCTTTTGTTGTCTTTTTGCAAAGATTAGGCTCTCTAGAAAAATGATCAAGCAAGGGAGTATTGTGACCAAATTTACTACTTAGATAATATGAGAAGAGATTTGAAGGAGCAATAATTAGAGTGGTAATTGGTGAATAGATAAAAAGGCCGTAAATAGGTCATATGGAAATAGGAATAATGAACAAGGAGAATATTAAAGAAATATGTAGGTGATTAAGTGAACAGGACTTTGCTGACTTATTAAAATCTCTTGCAGAGTGGGATGAGCTTTCTTAAGAGACTCAACTGTTTAATAGAAGAGACTGTTATTGGGGCCATGGATGGCCCTGGCTCTGAATAATTGATCTGTCACCTTGTGACCCAGCTGTTTCTTTAAAAAGATAAGACCCAAACAGGCTATGAACACGATATTTACTCTGCTAGAGTTTCAGAATTAAATACTCAGTTAGAACACCCATGTTCTTTAGAATGGACTGTTGGAAGCTGAATGAGGATGAACTGCAAGAACCATCCAGAGTTCCAATGCAAGTTGAAGGGACATTGTTCTGTAGATGATTACATGAAGATTAAAAGCATCCATGTGGGTGACAAAATTCTGAGGTCTATTGCGAAGTAATCTTTCTGTATACTGTGAAGATGTGTCTCTCTGATTGGTTTAATAAAAAACTGAATGGCTAATAATTAGGCAGAATTTTCAGGCAGAAGGAACACTGGGAGGAAGAAGGCAGAGATGCCAGGAGATGCAGAGCAAGCAGGATAGGAAATGCAGAGATAACGTAATAATGCCACGAGGCAGAAAGTTGATTAATAGAAATGGGTTAATTTAAATGGTAAGAGTTAGTTAGAAATAAGCCTGAGCTATTGGCTGAGCTTTCATAGTTAATAAATCTCTGTGCTATTATTGGGGAGTGAGGGTTCCAAAGAAAAATCTGTCTACAGAAGTTCTCAATATAAGATGGTGGGTTATGCTGCTGGCATCAGTAAAAAACGCCAAAGTAAAAAGAACAGGATATAGCACAGGTGATGTGTGTATGACAGGAGAAAAGTTTAGGGATGGTGTCAGAGGGGCAATGGGCGATGTAACTGATAGAAAATGTTCTGAGGAATATGAGGCATGAGAGGAGAATGATAAAATTGAGTGTGTGGTGGATGTGGAAGAGAGAGGTGCGATGAAATAGAGGTATTGTTACATGAGAAATGAGGCGCTGCTGCTCAGTGACAGAAGGCATCCTTACCATGCCCAAGAAACTGGGTTCCAGTGCCATTACCAGAAACAAAAGGTTGGTATGAGAAATGGTGACCAGCTCACAGTGTGCCTGAAATGGATGGGAATCAAGGGCTCCTCTGTTGCTTTCCATTCCATTCCATGCTGTCCCATCTCACTAGGCAAATCAATAGTGTAGTTGTTATCACATGTCTCTGCTGGACTAGACTAGACTAGATATGGCAGCTGAGATAGAATAATAGATACTTCTCGAGAGCAATGAGCAGTTTGATAGGTTTTTCTTTTGTGTGTCTTAAAGAGAACTTTAAGTTCTCCCAGTAAATGATAGGAAGGATTACATAGTGATATCTCAAGGAATTATGATACTGTAGAGGCTAGGGGCCATTTTGCTCCTTCAATGGTTCTTCTTGGTTATTGTCATAACAATTATTAACTGTCATCACGCTGTGATAGCGCCGTTTAGCGTGAGGTGAGATTACAATAAACTTACAATAGGTCACCTGATGTCACTCTGGTAGCTAACTGATCTTGGATCTAGTCAGTTTTAGCTAGTTCACTTGCTGAGAAACTTTTGACTTTGTAGGTATCTTGTCCTAAAAAATAGACAAGATCAGGATCGTGGTAATTTATCAAGGTCAAACAGGTGGTGTAAGGTTAGAGAAGGACAACTAATCTTTTACCTTTAATTTCACAACTCCTTTTTGAATAGTGTGGAAGGGAGATGTTGTAACTTCTTAAAGAGGAGTTTAGGCATCATGAGGGTACCCACTAGAGGAGTTATAAGTTCTCTAGAAATGTATTTAGTTATGGCCTAATCATAGGCATAACTGCCTATGTCTCTGAGTGACTGCAATCTATACCTTCACAGTTTGTACATGGTTCCTGGCAATAAGAACAGAGTTGAAGATGGATGGCTGATGGAGTGGGAAGGACAGGAGGTCCCATAGGTCACTTAAGACAGTAACAGTGATCAAAGAAGCAGGTAGCTTGGTGCTGGGCCCCCTCTACTTTTCCTTCTTTTTCTTTTCCCAACTCTTTATTCTCTTAATACTAGCTGTCATGTAAGGTAAAGTTGATGTCAGCTTGGAGGGAGGCTACCTCCAAGGCTTAGCATCATGACTACAAATGCTGCTATTTTATAGGTGTTTAAACAAGATTCTCTTACACTTTCCTTTTGCTGACTTTTAAAAAGTATTATTATTATTTATTTCTAATGTGTGTATATCGATGTATGTGTCTGTATGTATGTGTTCACATATGTGTGTTTAGAGTACATGTATGTGCACATGTATGTGAAAGGCAGAGGTCAACCTTGGCTGTCATTCCTCAGGTACCTTCTGTTTTGTTTCTTGAGACCTGGAGATCATCAATCAGGTTAGGCTGGCTAAGCAGTAGGCCTCCCCATTGCTGGGGAGAAATGCTCTCTCAGTCCCTGAAGGTCAAATGCTTGAATTAGAAAATGGAAGGAGGGCTGGAGGGATGGCTCAGCCATTAAAGGCTAGGCTCACAACCAAAAACATAAGAAAATGGAATGAGATATGATCTTCCATTAGTTAATTAATTTTGCTCTTGCTGATCTTTTGAGTGTCCTCAATCTCAAATTTCAGCGGGTAGAGGGGAACCTGGAGGATCAGGAGAGAATGCAGCACCGTTAGGGAAAGGTATCGGGATTCATGCTGGCTACACACTGGACTTCTACACCGGCGTCCGTCTGATGACAAGTCATCAGGCTGATGTTTACAGATCTAAAGCAGCTCCCTGGAGTCTCATCTGTTGACTCAACCTTTGGGTCTTGCTGTTTTTCAAAGTAAGTCATGTGAGTGACTCCTCATGAAGTCAGTGCACTGGATTGTTAATGTTGAAACCAGATGTCTTTCTATACAAACCTCACACTAGGTTATCACTTCTACACAACCCTAACATGCTGATGCCCAAGATAGTCCGTCCATGCTAGGCTATGCAAGTCCACAAAGACCAAGTGGGTATGTCTCATCACAATATACCTCTCACTGTAAAAGTCCTGAGATGTTCCTCTGTAATATTGACTGTCAGATGTTGTTTCTCATGGCCCAAACATAAGGAAGATACCCGTCTTTCAGAATAAGAACATTTCTGTTCTCAGATCACACAAGGCAGAGGACTAAATGTGCTTTAAATCAGTATAAGAGGGGGTTGTAATGGTGTCAGGCTAAGCGACTGAGCCCCAGAGTTGTAGTATTGCCCTTCCATTTAATAATCAATTGGTTCTGACATCTTTTAGACCATTTCTGGATACATTTTTCATCTGCGAATACCGAGCAGATAACGATTCAAAAGATCTTTTCCTGTAAGCGCCGTTAATTCTTCACTCAAGCACTGTGATGGTTGGTTTCCGTCAGCTTGACACAAACCTAGGTGTGCCTGGGAAGACGAAATCTTAATTGAGAAAAATGCCTCCATAAGATTGGCCTATAAGCAAGTTTGTAGAGTGACCTTGATTAATGATTGATATGGAAGGGCCCTGCCCACTGTGGGTGGTACCATCCCTGGCAGGTGGGCCAGGATGGTATAAAAAGGCAGGATGTGTAAACCATGAGAAGCAAACCAGTAAACAGCATCCCTCCATAGTCTTTGCATTGGTTCTTAGCTCCAAGTAGTTGCCTTGAGTTCCTGCCCCGACTTCCCTGGATGATGGAGTACGAGCTGTAAGGGGAAATAAACACTTTCCCCCCTAAGTTGCTTTTGGTCATGGTGTTTGTCACAGCAGTAGAAACCCTAACTGAAACAGATACTCGATCTTTTCCTAACCCACACGATGCTAGCACACTTAGAGGAGGAGAAAATCACGTTATAAATCTGTGTAATAGTAATTGCTAAATATATTTTACATGGCATAAACTTTCCGAATTGTTTTGATGGAACATTTCTGAATAAAGCTTGTTCTGAAGTCTATGAATTACATATAAAGAAGACAAATGTTGGTTCTAAATAGCCACCGACTCTGTTTGCAAAACAATCTCTTTTACCTGTTAGTCTTTGTCCCTTTGCTTGGCGTATTTTTAGTTACAATAACAGTACACATTTATCTTCTATTTTGTCTTTGTTTTGGCAATAGGAGATAAAACGGAAGGATTGTAATCAAAACAGAAGTCTTTTGAATGTAATTGTAGCGAAAAACATCATTCATAAAATCGTACAACTTGGAGGTAGAAGGCAGCAAACATGAACTCACTTGTGGAGCCTGTATTATCAAGCCACATTGGCAAGGTATTTTATTTATTTTATATTTTTTTTCTGAATTTATATCTGGGTTGAAAGAAGTTGGCGTTTGTTTATGCAGTGTGTAGGGTGTCTCTTTTGTTCCGAGGAGCCCCGAAGCAGCAGTCTTGGCTACCTTGTGCTCTCTGCTATTTTCTTCCCTGCTTTGCTAGTTCTTACTTTCTTAAGGACCGAACGAGCAGCCAGGCCTGCGCACGTGCTTCCCTTCAGCTGATGTCAGTCTGTACCCTTGCTAGGCCCTCTCAGGGTGTTCTGCCACCATCCAGGAACAGTGCAGTGACATTGGTGGTGTGTCACTACAGTAAGGAGTTACCAGTTGCCCCCAGGGAAGCACTTGGCAAACACATCACTTACCCCTAGGCTTTAAAGAGTTGTCCTTTGGCAGCATGAAGGTTACTTTTCATTTTTGTCTTTTGGTGAGAACCTGGGCTCTCTCTCCCTTAAGATTCTAGATAGAACACAGTTGCCAATCCACAGAGCTAGCAAGAAAATGTAGAGCAAAGGTTTGGGAGGAAGACATGCCAACAGATGCCGATTTGTGAACTCAGATTTAGAAGTGTGTCAAGGATCGGCATGCCGGCTCACAGATCTTCCTGTGAAGGGTTTTCAGAATGGCTGGGATGATGGGAGCCTCCGAGAGCTCCTGTCTTAGAGAGATACCTTTTGTCTGCCTTTCAGCAACAATGCTATAACTTGCTTTGACTGTTTTCTCAAGGCCTTGAACTTCAAGGAGGTCTTGGATCGTTGACAGAACTCTGCTGAGAGTCATGGGAGTCATTGTATGACTCCTGCTATAATCCTGAAAATATTATGTGTTTTACTTTTTGAAAGAAAGCTTTTTATTAGGGTGGGAAAACAGACCCACACAGCAGACTCACAGAGAAATCCTCCACAAAGCAGGGGGACTTGGGAAATGGAAGCCTGGCCCCTCCTCGAGAGCTGAGGTTTTAAAAAAATGTCTTTAAAATATCTTCCTCCCATAATTTAGGGCTAGGCAGTTTGAAGAAAAACAGGCTGGCTGATTGGTTCATATTACTGTGTAAACATATTGTGATCTGGCTGTGAATTTGTTGAGCCACTAAGTACCTGTCTGTGTTAGTACCTATCAAGATATAGTAAGCCTTTATATCCCAGATTAAAAGGGATTATGTTCTCAAATATTAATATAAATATTGGGTCAAACAGATAAAATGACCCTTCATATAACTTATGTTATAAATCAGTTTATTATCAACTTCTAGAAATTAATTATTGTCAAGGTCCCTTGGGCCATGCTTTTAAATATGGCCCATACAAAATGGAGGAACACCATTATGCCCTTTAGCACCTTGGTTAATTCCACACACTGGCTAACACTCCATTTTAAACACAGTCATTAAAAACAACTGGATCTAGAGCATTCAGTCTGGTACGTACTAGGCCTGTTACTGGCTTTGGTTCAAAAATCTACGTAGGTGTGTTTATTCAGAGAATTGTGGTTAATGTTACATTTATATTTTGCTCTGTTCTTTGTCATAATCCAGCATGAGTCTATGGGCTATAGGATTTAGGGACAATTACATCATTAAAGCTTTCTGACTGGTCTGGGACAGTCCTGGTGTTATGTCTATTTTTTAGTATAAATATTAACAGGGTCCCTTTGAGGTTGGAGTTATCATGGTTTAGATAATCAAGTATATAGTCAACCTTGAAAGGATGCCGTTCTAGTCAGATATTAACTCCATGCATGGTACTCATTTTGCGGTGCAGCTTTCCGGATCGTGTTCCTGACATCCTTGTCTAACACTACTTCCCTAAACCCAGATGGTGTCACACCCAGGAAGGGTAGGACATTATGCTTGCCTGGCTTGCTCTCTGTTTCATTTTTTCCACCTTTGGGACTGAAGAGCCCTTTCAACAATAAGTTTTCAAGATTTAAATTAGATATCCTATTCATAAACATTCCTGGAGAGGACACCGCTGCTGCCTTTTGGCAGGTCCCACACACAGGACAAGGATAAGCAAATCCAGAGGCCATTCAGCCTCTCACTTAGGGAAACAGGAACTTTTGATGGGCTGTGGTTGTCCCCTCTTAGTGAGGGAGGCATGCCTTGTAGAACATCTCCAGTCAAGTATGTGGTTGTTCTGTAATCCATTCTTGCTCATCCCTACAACACCGTCAAGCCACCCCATCTTCGTGTACCCAAAGTAAAGAGAGGCACTGAATGTGGGCACAATATCCCAACCCCTCAATATTTGTAAAGGTCAGGGATTATGTGACTATCATAGGATGATTTTAGGATCATGGTCCCTTGTCACAGTTAAGCACTCCACACAACCAAAGCCTATCTATTTTTCTCAAAGCCAAATTTTCCTTGTTTCTTTTGAGATTCCCGTGAGTTAAATTTGAAAGTAGTTTTTTAAAATTTATTTTTTTGAGATAGGGTTTCTCTATGTAACCCTGGATGTGCTGGAACTAGCTCTGTAGACCATGCTGGCCTTAAACTTACAGAGATCTTCCTGCCTCTGCCTCTGAGTGCTGAGATTAAAGGCACGTACTACCTCTGCCTGATCTTGAAAGTAGTTTTTAATGTACTTTATTCTCGGTTTCACTGGAGTCCACTAGTCAGGTCTGAGTCCACACCTTTTTCATACAATACCAGTGTGGTGTCCCAGAGGTCACACCACTTTTGTTCTGGGCATAGTAGTTATTGTTACAGCAAGAGTATATTGAACGTTATTCCAGAAGGCTGCCTGCCTACTGCTATCCACAGGTTCCCAGGCTTGGTCATCCTCACACTGACACTCAGGTTAGATGGACTCTTGAACATTACTAGCTAAATAAGCAGGAGATCTAGCTTCCCTTGGCATCTTCGCTCCCAAGTATCCCTAAGATTATAAAATAGTCTTGCATGTTTCCAAGCGTGAGCTTTTCTGTTTGTAGGTAGCATTGGAACTCAGATCTCCCTTTGAGGCCTCTACTGGTTGTGGTTTACACAAACTCCAGGGCCAGCTGCTAATGGAGAACAGCTTTGAAGGTGTCAGAAAAAGAGGAAAGGTTTTGCCTGTTAACCCAGAGACCCGAATGCCAGTCACACACAGGCATTTCTTCTATTATCGGCACAATTAATCCTAAATTTTCCAGGAATAGAATGAAGTCTCTAATCATGGTTGTTCATGCCAGATGACGTAAGCTGGATGTCACTGCTGACAATCTGGATGATCTGGTAGCCCCTCTGGGATTTTCAACTGGACCTTCATCTCCACTGGACTATTGTCAGATTCCTTCAGACACCACTACTAAGGCAGAGGCCTTTGTGGTAGCTCCCCTCCAAGAAGGAGCCTGAGATCCAAGCTTTTCTGATATAAACCTTTCTCCATTTAATTGAGTTGGAAGAATTATGAGGGAAAGCGTGCCCTTGGCCCAGAATCACAGTCACTTCTGATCCTGTCTTTTTGTTGCCCAGGGGAATTCACCGCTCATAATTCCCATCACAGTTAAACTCAACCATCCTTCTCACCCAGAACCTTTGCATCAGACAGTTCACAAATACTTCAGCATCAGAAGGAAAGGTTTAGACCTTCAGGAAATCTTTTCTGATTCTTAATTTGTGAATACATGGCGGTCATGGGCAGAGACAAAGTCAATCTCAGGTCTCGGAGTAGATGGATATGGTTGAAGGCTCATGATGTCAGTTTTCCAGTCACCTGATTCTAGTAAACTATGCTGTCATATATAAATTAATAATTCATTTAAAAATCCAACATGTATCACACAGAATATTCTCTTTTAATAATGAACTCTATTTTATGACTATATATACATATATATATATGTTTCTTGACGTTGCTTTTTGAAGAGATATATATATATGCATATGTCTATATATATAAGTGTGTATGTATAGTTATTTTTATTATGAAATATTCACAGTTCCCCCCCACTGATTATCCTGCACAGCTTTGTGTACAACAATGATTAATCTTTGGAATAATTTCCTAGAAGTAGTATTTTCTGAGTGGGATGGTTCCACCTACACCAGCAGCATCTGGGGGATTCTGAAAGGCTGCCCTGACCCCTACGGTGAATGAGAATATGGTTTTGTGAGTTTGCCTTTAAATGGCCTCCAATGACACACGACCAAGGCTCGGGACTGTTCAGTCGGGTTCCTGAGTGTCAAGCGAGACAGTGCAGCAAATTGTTCGTACTGCTGAATACGGTTTTCAAATTTGCTTTTCAGCAAAAGATAATGCCAGCTGTGTCTCAGTAATTACCGGGAAGGGCTTTCCTTCATGCTCGGTGTGTTTGTAGGTCAAAGGAAGAGCTTTCACATGTTCTCAAAAGAACAGATAATATCACTAGTTGAATAAGTGTAGGGACATGGTGACATTCAAAAAGCCTCCTGTTCTGAACCGGGGAGATGTTGAAATATTTACTAGTAGGGGGTATTTCTGCCACCATTACTGCAGTGTAAGCAGCCAAGGACCTCTAGTTTGTCACAGGGATCCTCTTCTTAACCTTCTTAAGGCACCCAATGCCTCTTCGGCTCGAGCCTTGTGAAATACGTCTTTGTCCCTAAAGGCACATAGACTGTTCAGAGCCGTCTGTGTTTGCCCTCAATGGGTGTGAGCCTTAGAAAAGCCATTGCTCTCCTCCTCCGGCCAGTTCTTCCTGTCAGGAAGCCTGTGCTTGGTCCTGTACCAGGAACCATGAGAGGAAATGTGTCTGTTCCACGGCCACAGCGCCTGTGGGGCTGGGGACTGTCAGTCAGCCCTCTGTTCTCCTCCCCTCCAAGGACTTCCTACTATAGATGCCTGCTGAGATTCAGGGCTGGAAAAACAGGAGAGGCCACAAACATTCTACCTGGAAAAGAAAATACATTTTGTTGTTTGGTTTAAGCAGCCATTTTGATTTTTCTGTCTCTTTCGGGCGTCCCTAATGACTTCACAAAGCAAAGGACATTCTGGGCTGTGACGTTGCTGATGGAGAGGTGGCATGGACTTGAGCC